ATTGCCTGTATACAAATTTTCAACGAGTTCCTCCTTATATTCTGAGAGTCTTTTTTCTCCTTAGAGTCTTTTTTCTTATATTGATGATTAGCTAACGATAGTTATCTATAGATCATTGTAGGAAGAGACATTTGACCGTCCTAACAAAAGTTGGAGTTTAACGGTCGTTGAGGCGATCATAGCGAGGACGAAGGATGGTCAGCTAACAATGGCTGAGGAGACTGTAGACTCATCGAGGTTAATGGTTTGGGTTGGAACCTGAAGAGGCATTTATGCCCGTGTTGGCATTCCGAGTCAAGGTCGAGCACTCCTTCAAGAAAGTCCTACCCTTCTGAATACTATTTTTGGTGGAAGCGACTCTTTCTATAGACTAGTTAAAGTAAATCTCGTAAATTCAAAATAGTGTGGGTAAAAGAGGTTTCGGATATGCGAGGTTTCATCATTTTGTGCATATACCGAGGTCTACATGCGATGTCCAGCTTGCACATCGTGACCTTGCACTGCATCCACTGGCTAACAAGTGACGTCTTCAGGAGAGGGGAGATAAAGAAGGGAAAGACATTAACATATAGCTGCATCACGATCAAGCTATGGTTTGCTATTAAAGCACATCTTTAGGGGGTGGTGGAGGTTGGAAGCAGCCTGTGATGGCTTCGTGCTGGGAGAGGAGCGTTTATCAGTTGCTATTACAGCTCAATTAACGTCAATGGTGTCGTTTCGATGGTCGAGATGGTCATGGTAGAGGAGGAGGGTAAGGAGGGGGGGGGAGGGAGCTAGGAGATGGCAGTTGCTCTTTAGTGGACGGTTGAGTTGCGGCTCGGGGTGGATGATCGGCGGGGAGGGGTGACAGGCAGCTTGGGTCTCATCAGGGATAGAAATAGAGTGAGCAGGTTGAAGTTATGGAGATGATTTTCCAGTCAGGGAAGTCTTGACTTCAGACATTCATTGGGAGGAGGTGAGACAATCCTTTCAGAATGTCACCGTTTGATTTTTCCCAAAATGATGTCTGAGGATTAGGCTGCCGGAGCCATGCGCACCCCTTCTCTCACTTTGGAACCAAATCGATGCGTGCCTTCACAAGTCGAACGCTTCTGAAGAAGGGCCCTGGAAGGGCATTCACAATTCCCCAGTTATCCTCTTCCTCCTTCCTCAGGACCATAATTGTATCGGCGATATAGGCGTCATCTCCCTTCTGTTGTGGAAGTCTTGCTTCTTCGAGAAAGTGTTAGATGACTCGCCCGTATCCCTTCAGTTTATTCCAATATTTTGATACTAGCACGGAACTCCTTGGCGCTATATCGTTATTTCTGGTGAAAATTTGTTAATGTGCTGTTTTCTCTGAGTATCACCGCATCCACTACTGCAGAGCGCCATGCACTAGTTCTACATGAGTAGTAATAAATGTACTTCCTCCAGCCAATGGAGTGGGTAGCGTGGCAAGATGAGCAGCTTCCGCTGAGGCCATTAACTAAAAAATGTAAACAAAATCCTATATCATCTATGTTCTATCTTTACTCAATAGGTGATTCTGGATAGGTCCTTCTTACACACCAAGCAGAACCGTGCTACAGACGAGGATCCTGCTGAACAGAAGGGGCAATGTTTTTCGTTCTGTACCTTTTATCTAGACCTAATTGTAAATCAGATCTACACAAGGATGAGTGCATGCAGTAATAACTAACAAGATAACGTAGAATTTCTCTTCATTCATGTGACATTGATCATTACCACATTTATTTGCCTTCTGTCTGGCACGTTCTTGGATTGCTCTATTCTCAAACTTGGTTGATCCGTTCGTAGATTTTGTGGTTGATTTTGGCTTAATTTGTTTTGACCGGATTATGTTCATTCCCATTTCCAGGAATGGCACCTGACATCAGTGGCGTACCTTTAGGGGGGCCAGAGGGGGAGTCCGTCCCCAGTGGCAGCTCCGTATATTGCTTAGAGCTCTCTCTTACTTTTTTTTTCTTCTCTATTAAAACCCTCGTATGGATGTTGGTTCGGGCCCCTTCGAGTCCCTTCTTTTAACAGCATTTTATAAATGATACATAATCTCAGTAATTCAGTGAAGTATCAGTGATTCAACGAAATATGTCAGAAATTCAATCAGAAATTGTTCCAACTTTTCCAACTCTCCCTCTTCCCTTTTGGCTCCCCTTTCAGTGTCCTTTTCTTCAGGAAATTGTAATTTATTGTGGCAACTCCATACATTAGTCTAGATGAATATAAATAAGGTTGATTTTAATTTTTATGTTGTGCTCATTCACCATGAACCGAAAATGTACTTGCATTGTAGAAACGTTAAGAAGTTGCAATAAAATGTAGATATTATGCCTCCAATAATCTCATAACATTGGAGAAAAGCCTAGGGCAAGAATGGGGCAGTCGACTCAGTTATATACCTGTGATGTCATTTGCTCTGGGGCGAGAACCGTCATTATTCGGGGCTTCGTTTTCGGCCCAACGTTATATACTCCTCTAACTTGAGTTAGGGGTAAATACTCACGGGCGCGGGACAGCCATCACGAGTAGCCTATCCTTAGTTGCACCGAGGAAAGTGAACGATTGGCTCTGGGGTTTCTAGGAGAATGCGACCAGCTTGCGTAATAAAATGGATGAGCTGTGGGGGAGGGTACTAGGTATCAGTGACGATGTCATCGGAATAAGGGAGACAAGGACCAGCGGTAAAACAGGACATGACACTCCTTGGAAAGGAGTCACATGGAAAGGACTTATCAGCATCCCCCAACCTTTGCAGGCAGCGAACGTAGCGGTGAATGACACAAATTTCTGACACTATGCCACGACGAAACGTGGAACTCGAGGGTACAGTATTTTGGCATATAAATGGCAATATTTCCGATTTAAAAGGCATCTCAGGAAGCTGCTTTAAATTTCCAGAACTCAAGACTGGGAAGTTCAGACGCTCAAATTAGACATGAGTCGGTATCTGGTCCTAAAGCATCTGGTCCTTCAGCTTAAAGGACATGAGGAGGCACACAAGAAGCCTAGGACTATCTGTCCCAACATTCTTCCTTATTGAGTTAAGAAATTTATAATTTCTTTCAAGTCTGCGATCATTTATTTGAAACTGGATGGTTGAACATTGGAATAGAATCAGGGTAATTAAGTGTGGTATTACGGCAATAAATATGTGATTTTTGTCAATAAGTTCAGGGTAATGTTTCCTCTGAGTATAGAAATTAATGTTAATCAGAGGTACGCAAATCCCCACGACCCTCCTTCCCTCTGTCAATCGATATTATGGAGAAAAACTCTCAACTGGAGCGATATCTTTCTTTAGGTGAGATGCTACATCCACCTCATTAATACAAGATGAGAAAGTCTGTAATTGTATATGAAAGCGAGAAGAGAGAATTCAAGTTGCCTCAACAGTCATTTAGTACCCATGAAGACCAATTTTGACCTATATGTTCGGTTCCTCCTCTGTTCTCTATTTGCATGACTTCGTTTTTGTTCTAGTCAGCCGGTTTTATCCCTCATTATTCCCAAAATTAAATGCATGCTAGAGGACTGGAAGAGAAGTGGCCTGAAGATGAGATTCATAAACTGCAATGGCGCCAGCCTGTGGTTTTTCTCAGTAGCTGCTAGAATAACTGACTGTACGTGGTCGGCCAAGATGCATCTTGATACGCAGAGACGAAGAGCCTCTGAGTGGCTGGTACTGTTCTATCAGTGGTCCTTCACTGAGACTTAATGTAACTTTGACGTCTTAAATAATGAGTTTGAACTTCAGGGATTCGGCACTTGACGTAAGGATAGACTTAGGAGGAAAGATGGAGGAGTCATTCTGTATGCCATGAGTTACCCAGGTGCCTGCATCAGGGAGGATCTCGTTTCAATTAATTGAAGGGTAGTTGAATGCCTATGCCAAGGATGCTCTTTTCTTGCTGTACGTCCAGGAACCTATCGGAAAGTCACTTTCTTGGATTTAGTTTTCGCAACGTATGACGATCTGGTGCTTCGCGCGAAAGGTGAAGATAACTTGAGAGACTTTTATCATTGAGTGATCATGTGGAACGTCAGACAAGATACAACGACAGGCTGACAGATAAATCAATCCTAGAGATGAAAATCCTGGGAAAATCAAAGGATTGGAAAATAGCCAATACCAGCCCTACCACTGACTTGGGATAAGACCGCCCTGCTGTGACCTGGAGTCCGCTTGGACCCCTATCACCGTGACTTGGGGTATTTCCGCTCAGACCTGGTTTTTTCAGCATGCGTTACCACCGTCTTTGAAACACTTTGCGAGAGCTCTCATCAACTTCTCTTTAATTTTTTTTTTCACTAGTTTTAAGCACAGTTGAACCCCGATTATCCGTGCTAATGGAAGAGAATCGATCTCATGGACAATCCGAACAAGTTGTGCTGGCTACTATCGGGAAATTCGTCGTCAACATTTTACCCTTAGATTGGCTTATTGTAGTAAGGAAATTTTTTAACTGCAGAATGCCACTGAATTTCAGTATGTACATAAGAGTACCGTGCATTTTGATTGTGAAAATGCGAAAAACACACTCATTCATAGTTGGTTTGGCATTGGAAATGGCATTCCCTTTTTAATATACAAGATTATTGTGCCCTGTAGACTACCAGATATGCACGTTCATCCGCAAAAAATGAAGCAATCAAGCTAATAAGAAGCTGCAGCAACTTGGTGGGTGGGTTTAATTGTGACTGTAAATATATAGCTGGTTATTTACTCATTTTTCGCTCTGCGAAAGCCTCATAATCCTCACTTAACACGTTGACCGTCGAGGGGTTTGGAACCACTGTTCTTCCCTGTTCTTCCCTGTTCTTCACTGTTCTGGCAGATGTGACATACCGGTGTGTCACGTGGCGGTCAACGTGTTAAAGGAGTATTAAAACTACCCCGATATCCTAGAGCCCGCATGGAATTCATATGTTTATCCTATGTCTTAAACCCCGTAACTGCACAGCCAACATTAGCCCCCCTGCTGTAGGCCTGTGACATGATTTATTTTGGTTTTCAGGTACCAGTATTTGGGAACCAATACATTTGGGAACATCCACTTGATACTGGTGTGGTTCTTTCATTGAGTAGGCAGTATTGTATACACAATCCACAATGCAAGACCCCGTCTATTCGCCATTCTTTGGAATCATGGGTGCTTCTGCGTCCATTGTGTTCAGTGGTATGAGAACCATCTTCATAAAATTTCTTTCACTTGACCTTTTCTGACTTTCATGCGATTGTCTTGTGGTAGTCAGTTTCTTGTCATCTGATAAGCCTTCCAGAGAACCTCGAGAGCTACTCTGTCAATCCTTTTTGCCTTGACTGGTGTTGCTTTATCTTTTTTTCTAGCACTGGGAGCAGCCTATGGCACAGCAAAGTCAGGAATTGGTATCTCTGCCATGGCAGTAACAAAACCAGAGATGATCATGAAGTCCCTCATCCCCGTCGTCATGGCTGGTATCATCGGTATATATGGAATGGTGGTGGCAATATTGATAGCAGGAAAGCTCCAGAAGATTTCCAATGGGTATACGTTGTTTAAGTAAGTGAAGCGTTTTCCCTTCCAATTGTACTCCATGTGTCTCAGCCAAAATCATGATGCTCGAGGATTGCAAATCTGTCTGTACGACAGAAAACGCCTGATTTCGAATGATTATAGGTTTCTTTAAGTGAATGCCTACATCCTTGAATTGTATATCAATGAATTCCTTGAAGTTTGAGGTTTTCAGGATAACCTCTTGTTACTGCTAATTTCATCAAGCGTTTCCGTTTTCTCAAAAACACTTGACGCTTAAATGCAAGCTGCCACCTGTTAGCTTAGTGAGGAACCGACTATTTCTCGACATCTGCTAAGCAACATGCTGATGACATACAGCACGTTGCAGTAGCACTGCACCTTGGAAAGATACAGTGCATTATGTGATTTACACAATTTGAATCAGCGATAAAACATGGGTGTCAGTTTCGCTGTGTCTCCCCTTACAAAATGTCCACCCTTTTGGTGGATTTGGAACCAGATGGATGTCCTTTTATACGTAAATCTACCTGCTGTAGGGATGTTCACCTGGTTCAAAATCCATCCAGGGGGAAGACCTGGTTCGAGGAACACGTAGGCGAATGTCCTGGTGGATATCCACAAGGTAGGACATCCACCTTGTTTCAAATCCACCTCCTATTCACCTACTCGTCCAGTCTAGGTGTACGCAGGTGGACGTTTTGTAAGGGTCCCAGAAAAATCCCAGAATCAAAGGATATCAAGTGGTTTAACGATTTCAAGCGCACTAGAAAATTCCAATGGCAGCAATCCAAAAACGCTTCCAAAAGAGCGTCGATGATTTGGGCCAGCAAGAGGAGATTTTCTAATACTTCACGGAACGCACTGATAAAAAAAATCAAGCAAAAAACGTACATGTAAGGGTAAAGGGTAAAGGGAAAGGTAAAGTGGCAAAGGAGACGACGTGACGAACTCTGCTTGATGGTTCATCATGTACATACCAACATCATAGGCCAACATGGCTGATTCCATTTACAGCCAGGAACTATTGAATAATTTCTGCCAGGATGTAGCGACTGCCCTGAAATTTTACCATTTTTTGCCACAACTGTGTGGTGTGCGTCAAGTTACTTATATCATACTATAAGTGAAAGTGATATTCGCGGATGTTGACTCCATATTCAAAGTATGGGGATAATGTTTACAGGTATCTACTGTACTCACGTGGCAGGATCGCTGATTTCTATCGCTTAAACTGAAGTGCAGGGTTACTCAAAAGAGTCACTTATGTAATAGGGCAAAGTTACTGGGGCACACCGGACAAAGATAACTTCGCAGGGTCAGGACGATGAATATGCCAAAAACAAAGAGAAACGGCTTCGGGGAAACGTGACAAATCGTCTTCCACTGAAGAATCACTGATTTACCCTAGTTGTGGAAAGATTCCATAGATGAATGGAAACAAAACAGGAATGTGTGAAACCTACTGACATGAAGCCTGTTCCACCTGTGATGCTGACATTTGTTACTGTTGCAAATAGGTTTATTCTGATACTTCTGTTACCGAAGCAATCCTTAAGTTTCGTCGGTTTGCCCCAAACCCAATGAAGTGTCTTCACTTTACCCCGTTGTGAGGCAAAGCAACAAAATTTACCCTTTTTGAAAACGTTTATTGCTTATATGAAACGTTCACTTTTTCTTATTAAAAACGGTTAAAATGAAATGTATGATGGCTATAACACAGCGGAAGATTAGGTACTAGGGCCAGTCAAATGAAATCAACAAATGACTTCTAACTGTGCATGCGGCGTTTATTTAAAATACTCTAGACGGAAATTGAGACGTTGTCTCACCGCTCAATCTGAATGGTTATGGTCGCAAAACAAAATTGGCGTCTGGTGGCACCAAGTCCTCGTTGCCTCTGCCACATCGTCGTCCGAGAGGTATCGCCGGCCCCTCACCTCCCTTCCCCACACAGCACAGGGATATCCCAGGGATGTCCCTAACTGGACGACTTGTCCCCATGTCTTTATAGGATATCCTGAAGACATCTTCTTTCTGACGGTTTCGGACATCTCGTAAGGGATGTCTACATTAATGATGTCTGATTGGCATGTCTGGATACAACTATATTGGTTGGAGGCCTGAGCCCAGAGTGTTTGAAAGGCATAAGCCTGCATAATATCATCCATGGTCTCTTCTGTAATAGTGCTTAATTGTCGTCCCTTGGAGATGTGTCTCCAATGATGGGGCTCTTTCCTTTAAAAACGGCGTTTTCCTCCTCCTTAATTGTTACTCTTCATTCGATCAAGAACTTTAGATTAGGTGTTCCTATATAAAATAGAGACATCTGCGAAAACAAAGGGTTCTCCTGTATAATAGGAAAAGAGTCCATATGGGTAGGAAGGAATAGGAAAGCCCCTACAAGTACTACCTGAGACTTCTTACTTGTCCCAATGGGATATCCCTGGGACATCTCTGGGATGTGCTATTTCTTCAAGAAAGGGATATCCTTGGGATGTCATTGGGCCCAGACATTTTGATATCCCTAAGATGNTGGGCCCAGACATTTTGATATCCCTAAGATGTCCCTGCTCCTTGTCTCTGGGACATCGCACTTGTCCCAAGGGGATATCTCTGGGATATCTTTGGGATATACCTGTGCTGTGTGGGTTCATAATGTGTCATCTTCAAAATGATGACACTAAGATGCCGCGATCCTGGCCAAAAAGCTGTCTCCTTCAACATGGAAGTGCAGCATATGTGTGAGACCAAGACCCATGCGTACATTCTTCTGGTCTTCGGTCAGACACGTCAGTATCTACTCGACATCCACTTGAGATGGAAGTGGAGACAATCTTAGACGATTATGTGCACAGACTCATGGCTAATCCCTTTCTCTTGTGACTATGGCAATAAGAAATGCGTCTGTTTCCTCTAGTCACCTCGTTCACCTTCGTGGTGTTATCGTCCGTGATGGCGACATTAGCTCGTCCAGATCTGGGTTTGTCCTCAATACAAAGGCTTCCGCCACGAAACATTCATTTACTCATCTCTAGTACAAACATGCCTCACCATGAACAGCAACCATTCTCTGATGGATATAAAATGGTTTCGCATTTTCTGCACACAAAAACTATAATGATAGTGATATATATGTCATAGTTTTTGTGGAGGAGGATTTTCAACGGAGGTAGCCATCTTTACCAGACCAGAGGATATCAGGATCAAACTTGCGGCCTGGGCGCCCCTCGGGAAATAGATGACAAAGCCCCCCCCCCCCCCTCTTAGAATATACATGGGAAAAATTTAGGGATGGATTGAAGACGTACATCATTCAGTAATATATATATATAAATAAATCCTTCCACGGCACCCTGCCGGTATTGGAGATATGAGGGGGGATGAACCAC